GGTGTAATTTATATCGAGGTGCCTGGTTTCTCTACCGAAATAAAAATTTCACCGGAAACAACGTGTGTTTACAGTACCTCTGTAGTGAGTCCAACTTCAGGGTCGTAGCCGTCCAAGTCAAACACTGTACTAGCCATGCCTGCGCTGGTCAAGCGTTGACATAGCTCATTGGCAAAGTACTGTTAGAAGCAGCAGCAGCAGGAGAGAGAGAGAGAGAGAGAGAGAGAGAGAGAGAGAGAGACATAGAGAGAGAGAGAGAGAGAGAGAGAGAGAGAGAGAGAGAGAGAGAGAGAGAGAGAGAGAGAGAGACATAGAGAGAGAGAGAGAGAGAGAGAGAGAGAGAGAGAGAGAGAGAGAGAGAGAGAGAGAGAGAGAGAGAGAGAGACATAGAGAGAGAGAGAGAGAGAGAGAGAGAGAGAGAGAGAGAGAGAGAGAGAGAGAGAGAGAGAGACATAGAGAGAGAGAGAGAGAGAGAGAAGAGAGAGAGAGAGAGAGAGAGAGAGAGAGAGAGAGAGAGAGAGAGTAAGAGAGAGAGAGAGAGAGAGAGAGAGAGAGAGAGAGAGAGAGAGAGAGAGACAGAGAGAGAGAGAGACATAGAGAGAGAGAAACATAGATGTACACACGCATACACAAATACAACACACACACATCCAAGTGTACATGAGTGAGGAATAAACACATAGGGGCAATCAAACAGACATGTCGCACACTCCCATGACATAACTGTACGAAAGCAATAAAGCCACACAGACACTTGAAAGGGCATGGCTACCCGGACTAAAACGTCACGTACGCCACGTTTTGGGCGTAGTGTTAATGGCCCATTATTGCACACAAACTGCAGTCACGGGTGCTTACCGTACAACAATCTAGTGCAGTCACTGCTTGTACTAAAGAGCTGGTGGACAAGCCGTTGATTATCCACTCTCATTGTAATATCAAAAAGTATTCTTTCTAGACCAAAGAGTGGTATATTTGATAAAATTTAAGAACGATAGAAATATTTTATTTCTTTATCCACTCCACTTTACAATGCATTAATCTCTCGCTTCTGGATGCTGTGCAATCTGCTTCTGATAGAGTTGCTTGGCTCGAAATTGTCAACAGATGCGTTGACCTCATGCAATGAGTGATATGCGAACTGTCATTATTATTATTATTATTATTTATCCACTGACGATGTTGTTCAGAATAAATGAAACGTCTGGAGAAGTATCGTAAATATTTCTATCGTTATTAAATTTTATCAAATATACCACTCTTTGGTCTAGAAAGAATACTTTTTGATACTGCTTGTACTGATCAGCATGAATGGGGTGAAACAATTCATGTCTCTATTAGAAAATAAAGCCCGCTCTCGAATAGAGCCCTCTCTCATAGCCCCCTCAATTTGTCCTCTAGAAAAATAGAGCCCCTGGGCTTCTATTCGCGCCTATACGGTAATAGAGAGGTTCCACACTCCATAAAGTTGAGCAACATTACGTTAGTGGGCGGCAAAAACACGTAAATTCGAGAGTTTGGACTCCATTTACGGAAGGTTGTCTACGTAGAGTGCGTAGATAGGGCTCTGATAACGGAGGTACTCTGTAAGTGGATTGGGGTACAAATTTATGACTCACACCCCAGGTCGACCCGGTCACACACTGCCGCGTTCCGAGTTGCTAAGGGCGGCTACGTGATTCGAAATCTCCGTATGGCGGAACACAGATCCGCATGCAGCGTACGTAAGACTTTCCGTAGATCGACAACGTTTCTACTAACGTAATTACGTCATGCGGAACCTCTCTAATAAATGGTTATGCTCTTGTATTATTAGTCGGCACGAAAACAGATTGAGCAAATCAACAAACTGTTCCTAGGTAGTCACGGCAACTGCCTATCAGCACTGAGCAGCAGTATACAATGTGACCATCCAGGAGATGGTTTTCTGTTGCACACTATCTTGACCAGGTGACCACAGACACTGTCAACTGGCTCAAAGAGGTGCACTACCATACAATGCTTGGTAGAAAACAAAGAAAAAACATATAGGGTACACATACGCGGGATTCGAGCCCGCAACAGCCGTGTTCGAAAGCGGGAACGATACCACTCGACCACATATACTAGTAGCTCAGGACAGGTAAGAAAGTGAAGCGGAGGTATCAATAATTCATTTCACAAGTCAACACCGCTCAAACAGTTTTCTGAACTCGAAACAAAACACATGTGCACCCCCCCCCCCCCCCCTTCCCCCAACACCCACCCATACGTACAGACACGTACATGTGAATGTGCGTATTCACATAATACACACAAATGATCATGTACAGTGCTGTCAACTGAAATCCGACCCCCTGAGCGGTGCGCTCACATCGCAAACACCCAACACGGGATGGTAAAACTACGAAACAGAGACCGCTAGAATGTGAACCCACCGCTCAGGGGGTCGGATTTCAGTTGCCAGCGCTGTACATCCGGGGCTTCATGGGGCGTGCGCGTGCGTTCACCGACAAACACGTATGGCATACACGTAGACAACATGCGCGAGCACTACCTACACACTAGCCATTGCGAGCGCCTACCTTTGAATTGCCCGTTTGCGTGCCAAAATAGATCTTGATCCTGTCTTGAGTAGCAAGGCCGTCACCGTCAACTGACGCTCTCAGCGTCTCGACATTTCCCGGCGACTTGCTGGCGAGTGTACTGTCACGCGATGCATGAGCAGGTGTGTTACCTGCCGCGGTGGTCGGTCGCCGAAACAACACAAACCATGCTGCAAGGGCGACGGCGGCTGTGACAGCAAACGCCGGTGTGGCAACGATGGAGAACAGGAGCTCGACCAAGACCATCCTGGATGTGAGAAACACGAGAGGGTGTGTTTAGAACGGATGTGAGACAGCCACTCACGTGAAATCCTGACAAAAGGTTAACAAACGAACACTGTGACTGTGTCAGGCTGTCCCTCCAGGAAATCGCGATTCCACGGTTGCAACAAATTTCGCGATTTTGTCCCAAATCCACGATTTTCTGCAAAACCCACGAATTCCCGCATTTTCGTCGTTATATACATTTTCATGTGAACTTTTCACGCAGTGCTTTCCATGATCCTGTAGGTTATTTGCACAGTAGACCCGGGTGCTCGAATGAGACACAGGGTACCAAAACAGAAACACCCTGAAATTGTACCTAAACTTGTTCCGATTTCGTTTAGATTTCACAAATACCATCAACATATGGCCCGCTAACGGTATGCCAAATTTCAGCGCTGCCCGGTAAACGCTTTTTGAAATACTCGCGACCCACTTTTTGCTGGGTCCTTGATTCGAGGATATGGGTCTCCTGTACGGTGCTGCCAAAGACCTGCTGAATCTGCGGAATCTGCGGCTCCACTGACCATCTTGCTCTCAAAAATGTAGTAGTAAGTTACTACTCCCTGCCCTCAACTGCCACACCAAGTGTAGACGATGGTAGACCCGTGTGCTTGAATCGGAGACGATCTGACGAGTTCGCTGTTTCTGATTCGAGCACCCAATTTTCAAATAAAAAATCCGAAGGAAATACGACATTTTTACTGCGTACTGTAGCTTGTGTTGTAGCGCACCCAGGTTCTGAATTCCTGCTGGGTGGGTCAAGCCAGACTCTCTTCCCTGTTCCATCGCCTCTCCAAAAGTATATTCTGACATTATTGAGACTTACAGATGAGAAATTCCACACCTGTCAAATCGTTTCTGATTCGAGCACCCGGGTCTACTACTCGTGAGGTCTACTCAGCACTGCACAAAATAATAGTGATTCCACGGATGCAACAAATTCCGTGATGTTGGCCCAAATCCGTGAATTCCCGGCAAATTCTGCGTCTTTTCTGCAAAACGTGCATACATGTACATGTACATGAGGTGCATCCGCACTTTTCACCGCAATTTCTTGCGCTAGTTTTCGAGCATTATTCCGTAAATTCCCGCAGGGACAGGTCAGGGATTCATAACCAAGCATGTACGACATCATCAGATTCATCACCAGGCAGATATGACATCATCACCAGGCAGGTATGACATCATCACCAAGCACTCTTGTACTCTTGCCATTGGTAGATGTACTGTGATACCATTAAAGTCTGTAAATCTGTCCCCCGTGAATTCCGCGATTCCGCGGATTGCAGAATTTCCGCAGAATCCAGTAGTGTCCGCAGAATTCAGAAAATCCCGCGGAATATTGGAGAAAAGAGAGAAAAACTGCTTTTTCCGGAAACTTTTGATGTATTTCACAGCCAAACCAACCTGCTTGTGACTTTCAAAATCAACTTGCACGGTACACTTTGGAGCTTTCAATTTTTTGGACCAGGATTTCGCATAATTTGGGTTCAGAATTTATAGGCACAACAAACTTCGGTGAGATTGCGGAAACTCAATCTGTTTTTACGCTCATTTCCCTTGCAGAATTAGCGCAGAATTTACTGTTTTCAGCCGCAGAATTCTGCACGGAATTTCTGATATTCTGCCGCGGAATTCACGGGGGACAGGTAAATAAGGATGTACCGGTATTTACTTTCGAATTTAGTGGTCACACCGGTACCAACTTTCAAGGGGGTACTAACTAATGACTTCCAGGCACGAACTGACTTTGGGACCTGATTTGCACGTAGCAGAGAAGTGAATAAATTTATTCTCTACTGTAGTGCATGTTAGGCGCTGCATGTGCGAACAGTACCGGTACTTATTTCCTGCAGTATGTTTACCAGGCTTGACTTGACTTCAACAGACAAAGTCCGAAGGGTGAAGGGGGTATTTCTTTTCGGCATGTACTTATTGGAGTTGGAGAAATGAAGAGTTTCACATGTACTTATTAATTTATACATATCCGAGTCATTCATGTACTTATTAGAGAGGTTCCGCACTACGTAAAGTTGAGCAACTTTACGTTAGTGGGCGGGAAAAACCCGTGAATTCGCGAGTTTGCACTCCACTTACGGAAAGTTGTCTACGGAGAGTACGTAGATAGGGCTCTGATAACGTAGCTGGTCCGTAAGTGGATTGGGGTACAAATTTATGACTCTCTCCCCAGGTCGATCTGGTCGTACACTGCCGCGTTCGGAGTTGCCAAGGGCAGCTACGTGATTTGAAAACTCCGTATGGCGGAACCCAGATGCGCATGCAGTTTACGTAAGACTTTCCGTAGATCGACTACGTTTTTTACTAACGTAATTACGTTATGCGGAACCTCTCTATTTACGGATTTTTACGGTACCCTTGAGGAGTTGGTAATCATGCAATTTGGTCCAAATTTATTTTGAACTTTCCCAGTGTCCTGTGTTCGGCTTACGGCATTCTATTGCCGATAGGTGCTCATTTCTTTTCCTGTCATTCAAAAACTCAACCTTCTCTGATGAGGTCTCAATGACCGAAACAGCTGTCGGTAGGAATAGTGTTTTTCAGTACTCCCAATGAACCTCTTGTTGCTGTTATGGGAAGTGTATGTGGTCGGCCACAGAGTGCAACAGTGGTGATGCTGCAGTCAACGCAGATCTATTGCCAACGCAGATGGCATAATGCTATTGCTAGGATGCAAGGGCGTCGAAACCGCACCGGCCGGCCATGGCCGCCCCACTTTTTCGGTAGTTTTTTTTTTTTTTTAGCACACTGCAACAAAGCGCGATGATCTCAGCGCAAACGTGGCAAATCCTTGTCCCCGATCGTGGTTTGTTGCAGAATCAAAAGTCCATGTACACTGAAATGGCACCAAATGCCTGGGAATGCTTGCAATTGGCTTCAATTTTTGAATTTTTTTCCCCGGGGAGGGTAATGTTTGTCCCCGATCGTAGCATCTTCTTGGTTTTTCGCAGAATCAAAAAGTCTTTCATTGTAGTTACCGTACACTGAAATGGCACCAAATGCCCGGAAATGCTTGCAATTGGCTTTAATTTTTGAAATTTTTTTCCCGCGGGAGGACCCCCGGACCCCCCGTCCATGGCCGCCCCACTTCCAAACTCGTTCCGACGCGCCTGGGATGTGTCTTCTTCTGCATTCTGTGTAGACTAGTACATGTATGTCGAAATCGCTTGAATTGGTTGATTTCTCCGAGCACACAGTCAGATAAACCATGTTCTTGGTCTGCTCTTACCTGACTTTCAAGCAGAGAGCTCCAAGGCAAACTTGAAAACTGGTGGTGTGTTATGCCTCCGTCTACTCTCTACACAAACACCACAACACTGGCGTGGGTACAGCTCACAAAACCCGACGCACTTAATCGTCGCGAAATCCTTTCAATACATCAAGTAGAAGGCATGTCGCCGCCTCAGCACAGAGTACTCCTGCGAGCCTGCGCCACCTCCTCTCAACCTTCTTTTTTTTAGTTGGAGGAAACAGTTCAACTAAAATCGGATTTCAGAGTTGGATGAAATACTTTTTTCTCCCTTTCCTGTTTTTGCGTGAAGTGCACTTGTGAGTCAAGCGCGCTAGCGCGCGTTCCACCGCCATATTTTGGTCAACATGGAAACGCGAAAATGGCGATAATGCGCGATAGAAATGTTGAATATTTTGCGGGAAAAACCTGAAACAGTTTTTGAGAGAGAAGACGAAAAGGTGTGACCAGGTATTTGACGACTCCCTGGGTGTGACTGTGAGAGCTGGAGTAAAAATACTTTTTACGTTCATCCATCGTCGACAACAGTGTCATTCATGGCGTCTCTTTGAGCCCATTTGGAGGGAGTTGAAGTGCTGCTATCCCGACATTGTTCTAGTGGAGGCAGCACTATTCTTGTGTGTCGCTGCGGTAAAACGAGAGACACACGTGGCAGAGTCTTTGTAAATAACAAATAAATAAACCGATCATATCTGCCACTGTTGTGAAGAAATTGATCATGGGAGACGCTGATCTTCGCATATGGGTCTCTGACCGTCTACACGACGTGCTAGGCATGTCAGAGAGGACGGTGGTAGATTTTTTGATAGCCGGCGCGAAGAAAGCGAACAGCCCGGACGCCCTCACTCAACTAGTGTCATCCAGTGGGTTTGATGTTACGCCTGCTGTGGAGGTGTTCGCAGAGGAGCTGTGGGGCAGATTTCCGCACGCCGCCGCTGTGCCGCTGGCTCAGCGCCCATCCGCTGTGCGCAGCCGGCAGGTATTGCAAGAGAGAGCAAAGAACGCGTCGTATAAACTCATTCCCGAGTCGAGCAGCGAGGAGGAGGAAGAGAAGCCAGCACCGGTAGAAGACAGCAAGAAAAGACGTAAACACCGCCGGCATGCATCCTCGAGCGAAAGTGAGAACGACACCAGCCGTCATCCGCCGGCATCCAAACGGAAACCCGGTGCGTACAACATTGTACTAGCCATGCGTGAGATTACTACTTGTACAGCCAACAGTGCATTACAGGATTTCCTAAGCAAAGGCGAGAGAACAGGGAGGACTTAAGCTGTGTTCACAACTGGCGCGTGTACGCGTGAAACCACGCGTTTGTGCGTATTTTTCTGGCTTTTGGGGCGCCATGCGTACGGAAACGCGCCGAAATGGAAATTCCAACATGTTGGAATTTTCAGCGCGCATCAGGCGCGTACCAGCATACATGCCAGTCACTTTCATTGGTGGGGTCAAAAAATTAGTACTCGAAGGTGTCGCACGCGCTGAATACAACTCGAATTGCTGTTTTTTTTTGTGAAAGCCTGAACGCGCGTTTGGGCACGCATGAACCGCAAGCGTACCGCCAGTTGTGAACACAGCTTTAGATGAGACGAGCAGCTGAAAGGGAGGCATAGTGTATGTGATGATGAGTACTGCTTGACATGTAGTACAGACCCGGCAGAGCCAGTCTGCTTGGTCCGGCCGTGTCCGGTTGGTCCGGCAGAGCAACTCTGCTTGGTCCGGCCGTGCCCGGTTGGTCTGGCCGTGTCCGGTTGGTCTGGCCCTGTCCGGTTGGTCCGGCAGAGCCAGTCTGCTTGGTCCGGCCGTGCCCGGTTGGTCTGGCCGTGTCCGGTTGGTCTGGCCGTGTCCGGTTGGTCCGGCCGTGTCCGGTTGGTCCGGCAGAGCCAGTCTGCTTGGTCCGGCCGTGCCCGGTTGGTCCGGCCGTGTCCGGTTGGTCTGGCCGTGTCCGGTTGGTCCGGCAGAGCCAGTCTGCTTGGTCTGGCCGTGCCCGGTTGGTCTGGCCGTGTCCGGTTGGTCTGGCCGTGTCCGGTTGGTCTGGCCGTGTCCGGTTGGTCTGGCCGTGTCCGGTTGGTCTGGCAGAGCCAGTCTGCTTGGTCTGGCCGTGCCCGGTTGGTCTGGCCGTGTCCGGTTGGTCTGGCCGTGTCCGGTTGGTCTGGCCGTGTCCGGTTGGTCTGGCCGTGTCCGGTTGGTCTGGCAGTGGTCGGTAGCAAGAGTTCATGAAACCCGGAGTGTGCAGCTCTGATGGGTTGCTGTCATGGCGAAATTCCGAGATTACATCATTTTAGTGTGATGTAGTGCGTATAAGCAGGATGTTCAACGGACCGGCGGAAGAAATTTTGATTGGTGAGGCCATACCAAAGGGTTTCATTCTTTGTGCATGATGTGTACTCGCCACATCATGCACAAAGAATGAAACCCTTTGGTATGGCCTCACCAATCAAAATTTTCTTCCGCCGGTCCGTTGACAATCACTAGTGTTTAGTTTGTGACATACCAGTGCACACATGCTGGGGTAGCACTCGCAAGCGTAAGGCGAATGCTTACTTGCGGCGTGAAGGTGACTGGTCGTGTGCGATAGAAGGTGACGGGTCCCCCGGTGTGTGTGTGCGTGTGTGTGTGTGTGCGCGCGCCTGTGCTGATACAGATGTACGCGGTTCCACGAAGAGCAAGGGCGAGTCTTCGTCGTCGGATGAGTGGGAACGTGCCGAAGAGGAACGTCGCAAGGACCTGGAGGAGAGAGATGCCTTCGCCGACCGAATACGACTCAAGGACAAGGACAGAACGCGGAAGGTGACGGAACGTACCAACAAGAAGGTACGTCCATTATCACATTGGAGGGGGGGGGGGGGTAGGTTTGTTATCAAATTGCATTGAACATGAAACATTGGATCAATCCTGGGGTAGGGAGTCCATTATCATAATTATTGGTTTCAAACCTTGGGGCAAGGGGGGGGGGGGGTACAGGGAAGATTCTTTAGTGTGCATTTGAATTGAGTGTATATGTACGTGTAGAGTCCCATACATTGGCTATCCGAACGGTTTGGGATTGGTGAAGGGGGGTGGGGGATAACTTCAAGAGTGTCGTAACTTCGAGAGGCACGCCAGCTTTCAAATACATGCAAACATGTACATGAAGAAGTCTCTTTCCATTTTTCCTATAAAAAAAACGGTCAAACATAGCACTGTGCCGTGGAATCATGACTTGTCCACGCTGTGAAGCAAAACAAGTGTGTCATATCTAGTGTACTTGTACTTGTAGAGAAGGTTCAGTACGTATAACCCCTTTTGTTTGAGCACTTTGCAAACCACTGTGTTCTTCGTGTACTCACACAGGCCCTCAAAGAGGCCACGAAGCGCCTACAGATGGAGAAGGAAGCCAACCGTAAAGAGCTGGTGAGTCCTGTGCCCGTGTCTGTGTTTGTACATGCCGGTTTGTGTGGGCACGTGTATGTCCGTCTGTGTGTGCACATGTGTGGATGTGGGTGTGGGTGTCTGCGTATGCTTATGTGTGTGTCTGTATGTGTGTGTGTGTGTGGGGGGGGGGGGGGGGGGGGTACTAGAGAGGTGTATTTTCAGGTTTAGATATTATGGCAATATGGGGATATAATGATAGCATCTAGTCATGATCTAGATAAGCTGTGGGCCACTGTAAGTCAACAAATATTCGGCGCAAATTTATTTTCGGCTATTTTCGGCCTGGTCATGTTTGGCTGAAAATTTGTTGTGGTCGAAATTTTGTTTTGCAAAATTCAGGGTGACAGTGTATACAGGCAGCAGCAGTACAGGCTGAAAATTGTATGCGGCCGAAATGGGTTTTAGCCCTGGGAGGCCGAAATTTGAATGGGCCGAAAATTTGTAGACTTTCAGTAGATGGAGCAAGGTATTTCCGTGTGTCTGACATCTGTATGTTCGGTGGTTCCTGAAGCTGTATTTCTTTGCTCTGTTTCGTCTCAGCTCGTTGTGTTGCATACCATTTTGTGTTTGTATTTGACATTTCCATGCTGCAGGTTCCTGAGCTACGTAAGAGAGCACGTCAGCGGTACGTCAAGGAACGGAAAGGAGACAAACTCGTGGAGTTGCGGCAAGACATCGAGGACGATCTCTACATGTTCTCGAATCAAAAGTTAGTATCCCAGCGTGCCTGCGTGCGTGTGTGTCTAACTCCCTACAGGAAATACTGCAACTTCTGGTGTTATCATTCCACGGGGTAATGGGCATCCAAAGCTCCAAAGGTGTGTGCGCGTGTGTGTGTGTGTGTATGAGTGTGTGTGTATGTGCGCGCGCATGCTTTTAGCCTTGTGTGTAGCGGAGGCGTTTTTAGCAGTCACTGAAGCATCAAAGCATGCCTTGTGTAGCATTCTCTCCCACACTTGCTAATAGTATTGATATGCCCCTCGTGTTCCTTTCAATGTGTGTGCCTTCATCTAGACTAACAGACCGAGAGAAGCGGGAGTTGGAGCAGAAACGGCACATCTTGGAGCTAGCTACCCAGTATGAGAAGGTATGTCAACATCTGTTGTTTCCAGTGATTGTTTCCAGGGGCGTCACCGGACCCCCATCCACCCTGAATGGTCTAGAACAATGGATCATTTCTGGGCTGTTCCAACTTCACGGCTCTCTGTGTTAAGGCCCTGGGGCCGCTAGACGTGCGACCGGATTTCCACGTCCACGACAGTAGATGCTCCGTAGTGTGCACATGTATTTGCCAGTCTTGTGAGAGTTTTGTTGTTAACGTTTCTATGTTTTAATTTTTTATGTACTGGTTTATGCTGGTGTGATTGTGCGATCGTGTCGTGGTATGTCTCACAGGCTGGTGATGTTGAGAAGGTTGCTGACGATCGTTACAGTATTCCCAAACTCGATGCGGTAAGCTGCTCTCTCTCTCTCTCTCTCTCTCTCTCTCTCTCTCTCTCTCTCTCTCTCTCTCTCTCTCTCTCTCTCTCTCTCTCTCTCTCTCTCTCTCTCTCTTTCTCTCTCTCTCTCTCTCTCTCTCTCTCTCTCTCTCTCTCTCTCTCTCTCTCTCTCTCTCTCTCTCTCTCTCTCTCTCTCTCTCTCTCTCTCTCTCTCTCACACACACACACACACACACACACACACACACACACACACACACACACACACACCTTCCTTCCTTCCTTCTTCCACTGCCATGACTGGCTATGTGGCCCCATACGAGGCAGACCAGGAGACGTGTTGTCCACCGGGCGGGGAACGCCATACTCAGCGCGCGCGGGCCGCGCGAACAGCGTTACACTTGTGCCTCGCAATGTCCTGCGGCCGACGAAAACTGCGCGCACAAGTGCCACAGATGAGGGGCTTCGCCACAGGCTCCATGCGGGACTGGACAATAGCGTCAACAGCATCACGGCAGGTGGCTCGCCATCCCTGTCGATCTTGGACGATGTCACCAAGCTGCTCCAGAGGAACGCCAACAGCCATCAAGTCGCACTTCGCGGAGTCCTTCCAGCGCTTACGGGGTCCATGCGGTGGACGTTTGGAGGGTAATGCGCCGTACAGCAGCTGACGAGGGATCCGATCTGGCATGCGGGACACGTGGCCAAGCCATCGAAGTCGGCGGACTCTGACTTTATCCGCGATCTCCTCCATATCGCCCCACATCCTGCGAACCTGGAGAGAGGAGATGTGCTCCTCGATCTGCCGGCCACGATTTATCTTCAGGATGGAACGCACGCACTGCAGGTGAAAGGACTCCAGGCGACGGACATCACGCTGCCTGACGGTCCAACTCTCAGATCCATAAAGAAGGACCGCCAGGACAGTCACTCCATACACGATGCGCTTGATGGCGATGCTGAAGTCATCACTGGCGAAAACCGACTCCCGCAGTGTACAGAACGCACCCGATGCAGCAGCAACTCGCCGAGACACATCAAATGAGTTCCGGGCGTCTGGCGTAACATGACAACCGAGATAGCGAAAGGCCTCAACGTGGTCAACAACACCATCCAAAGGGGTCTGGTCGGCATCCACAATACCAGCCCCAGCCGCCATGAATTTGGTCTTGGACATATTGACACTAAGGCCAAACGCACCAGCTACATCCCTGAACGAGGATAGAGCCCTCTCAGCACCAGCATGCGTGACTGCGAGCAAGGCTGAATCATCCGCAAACTGACACTCCGTCAGCCGAACTCTGCGATACTCTGCCAATCTGGTGTTGAAAAGCCGTTCCCTCCGAAACTGGACGAGTGGGATCCCCAGCTCACCATCATCAGCAATCACGCCACGCCATCTCTCGAAGACTGCACACATGTATAGGTTAAACAAAACCGGGGCCATAGTACAACCCTGCCGCAAGCCATTCTCAACCCGAATCGGTGCAAGCAGGTCTCCACCCACACGAATACTGGCAGTCATGTCGCTATGGAAGGAACTGATGATGGTGATCAGATTCCCTGGGACGCCAAGTCTAGCCAACACTCTCCACATAGCACTCCGCGGAACCGAGTCGTACGCTTTCTTCAGATCGATAAATACAGCGAAACCTTTCGTGGCATGTTCGTGCAACTTTTCCAGGATCTGCCGCACAGCAAACACCATATCCGAACAACCACGGCCCCTGCGGAAACCACACTGCGAGTCAGGCAAGCACCTTTCTCCGAGAACCTGCAGACGATTGGCAATCATGCGAGCAACTAGCTTTCCAGCCACATCCAGTAACGATATCCCACGCCAGTTGTCGCAAGACCCCAGGTCACCCTTCTTGGGGATGGGGACGAGGATAGCATCAGACCAATCCTGTGGAACGCTGCCAGTCTCCCACACCACCCGTATCAGTTCATGCAACCTCGCAATCAGGGTAGGGCCACCGTACTTCAGCATCTCCACAGATATCTCGGATCCGCCGCATGCCTTGCCACACTTCATCCCTCGCAATGCACGCCAAATCTCATCACACTCAGGCACGACACCAAGCTCCGTCATAACCGGCCGCTGCTCGATCGAATCCACTACCTCCAAGTCGTAAGCACTGGCAATGTTCAGGAGGCCATCGAAATGTTCACGCCACCTTCCACCGGTGGCCTCTGCCGTGTCACAGATCTCTCCTTGCTTGTTTCTGATAGCAGTTGCTGCACGGGGACGCATACCACCCAAGGTGGTCTTAATGTTACCGATACACTCCCAACCGCTCTTCGCCGTCAAGCCAAACCATTCACAATCCTTTGCCTGTCTCAGCAGCCAGTCTCGCTTCAGCCTCCGCATGGTGCACCGCGCCGCACTACGAGATTTCTTGTACAAATCCAGATCACTGGCCTTCCGCGTTGACATCCAGGTTGAGTAACAACTGTCCCGATCACGGAGTACCGACTCGATCTCAGTGCGCTTGTCTGTAAACCATTCTGGCTGTCGGCGCCTCTCCCGACCCAGGCAGTCGCTGGCAACGTTGATGGTGGTCGTCCTGAGGGTACTCCACCACTCCTCGATGGACGGTTTCGGGGTCCAAACTTTCTCCAGCTCAGCATCCATGCCCTTGGAGAATCTCTCACGCGCAACCTCCATATCCTCCGGAGCACCACTACGCAGGCTCGACACAGCAATGGGTTTCGATCGCCCAACACCATTGCGGGAGACATGTGAACTGGGCAAGGCACCTAGACGATATTTCATGCCTAGAAACTTATGGTCAGTGTCGCATTCCGCATTACGTATTACTTGGCAGTCCAAACACTGCGACCGATGTGCTTGTGGTATGATGCAATAATCAATACAGTGCGGGTGCTTGTAGCGTGGATGAAACCAGGTATGTTTTTGGATTTCCTTCTTCTTGAATAATGTGTTGCATACAACAGCTCCATTTCATGCCAAGAAATTGAGCAGCTCCTCTCCTGCTGAGTTCATACGACCAAAACCATGCTGCCCCCGCACGTCACTCCACTCATCATCCACCTCGCCAACTCCAACTCTAGCATTGAAGTCACCAAGAATGCAATACTGGTCTGACTTTGGAACGCTGTCAATGAAGGTCTGCAAGCTGTCATAAAACGCAGTTTTTTCAGCGCGCGGTCTGGCGAACGTCGGTGCATATCCGACGGCGATGTGAATACACAACGGCGAACGGTTCCGTCCACACTCGAACTTGACCCTGGCGGAAACCAATCTCGAGCTGTGCCCCTTCCACTGCGAGCCACCGCGAACAAATGCGTCCCTGCAACGACCGCGCAATAGGGCTTGAAAGTGATGACGTCAAAAACGGCCTGGGAGTAGTAAATTGACATCAGATTTCTATTTTGGATCCACTAAGGTGTGACTTTGCTATTGCCTCAGTATGTGGGTGCATAGCAACCCACTCATGTCGTATGCAGGTGCAACTTTTTACTTCGCCACCAGTTGTCACCCCGCCCCCACTAGCCAAATCAGTCAGTTTCACTGGCAACATCACCTTGCTGTGAGTGAGACCGCTTGAAATGTGCTTGGATCCATACAAAAACTGGATCCAGGTGGATCCAGTTTTCGAATTTTTCAAATTGTTGCTATGCCATTGCTATGGAGTGACGTAGCACTTTCAAGCCCTATACAATTGCAACTCCTTCACCCCGCCGCGCCGACTCCCCATCAGACGGAGTCGGACGGCCACTCGCCAAGACGAGACAGTCGTCGACTTGGTAGGAATTAGTTCCAAACCAGAGGGTCTCCTGAAGTCCAACAACGTCCATACTGTAGCGCTGCAGCTGCCGGCAAACAAGATCGATTTTTCTCTCCTCGCGGAGTTGTCTTTTTGAATTTTTGATATTTTTTGAGGCAGTGTTCAAATCGCCGTCCACGTTCACCAAAGTTCTGACGTTCCACGTCCCCATGGACAACACAAATCTCCTTGCTGCTGGTGCACGTTGCGAGCCGAACTCTAAGCGGGGCTTTGCAGAGCCTCCGCGCTCAGGCGGACGAGGTTCAGTACGAGTGGTCACATCGGAAGTGACCATGGTGTCGACACTGATTTATTTCCTCGCCCCGGAAAAAGGAGGTTGGCAAAGTTTTGAAAACACCCTTACACACGACTTCAACTGGTCAAATCGCTCAGTATGGACTCATCCCCGTTCAGCCTTTTTGGTCATAATTTTTCTCATACTAATGGTTGAATGGATGTGAGAAAAAATTCCCGGTACAGTAAGATCAAGATGGACTCCTCAAGCAATGCCCATCTGAAGTTGTGTCTAGCTCTCTCATCAGTTGCTGTGAACACTTTGGGTGGAGAGCTTGCTCGAGCGTTGAACTCAGATTCTTAATCCACCATTCACAGTTCGCAAGGCTGGGCGGGGTTGTGAGCAGGCTTTCATTTAATCTTTTCGTATTATTTCGTATGATTTCTACTTTCATCTCATTACAAAATTTCTGCGCATTTTATCTCCATCTACGCGTAAAAACTTACTCTCTCTGTCTCTCCCCTGTCTCTCCATTGCAGAAACCTTCCAAGCGTGGCTATGTGGATCCTACTGAAGAAGAGGTAGGACTCCGTTATTTTCTTGATGCGTAGTATTGGACTAGCAGCAATGACACTCTAGCTGCTCAACTGCCACATAAATTATGTAATTGAACCCAGAGTTTCTATCACAAGTCACCATCAACTGTGTTCAAAGGGAACTTAGCCTTGTGTATCATGATGTGGTGTGGTGATGTAGTGGCACATACCGGCTTCAACACACAATTACAATGCTTGCCATGGCGTTATGAAAGTTTTGTTTTACCTACAGGCTACTATGGCTGTGTTAGGTTCCCTTCTGGACTGTCTTTGCATAGTATGATGTCTTGGCAAAGTATGATGTCTTGGCGTAAAAGTGATGTCTTGGCAAAGTATGATGTCTTGGCGTAAAAGTGATGTCTTGGCAAAGTATGATGTCTTGGCGTAAAAGTGATGTCTTGGCAAAGTATGATGTCTTGGCGTAAAAGTGATGTCTTGGCAAAGTATGCTGTCTTGGAATGGAAATAACCTCGCAAGAGGCGTTCGCCGAGTCTCTCGCCCGATTTGTTTGCATGTGTGTGTACCTATTCAGGTAACGTGCACACTCTATTGCAGCCATTTTCACAACAGCAAGTACTGCTTTCACCTTGATCGCCTTTAGTGCTGTATGCAGCGAAGAGACTGTGTTGGGTGTTTGAGTCTGATGTGTGTGTGTGTGTGTATATGAAAAAAGAGTCTAAAGACCAAAAAGTAGGGATTCACTGGCCAGAAAAAGCCACTTCATAGCTGTTTGGTGTAGACCAGGCTGAATAGTGGCGGTCAATTCTTCAACCTTGCAAGCTGTTGAATGGTGCAATCCCAGCACAAGTTGCTATGGCTTCTGCTGTAGCATCGCTATCATCGCCTCCGGCGATGGGCGTCCAATGGTCCAATGGTCCAATGGTGTGTGTGTGTGTGTGTGTGTGTGTGTGTGTGTGCGCGCGTGTGTGTACCTAGATGTATATGTGTTGTTTGGTTGAGAGCATGTTACAAGGCGGAGGACGCACTGTGTTGAAAACAGTGCTCCTGACTACAACCTGCACGGTTGGCAGAGCCCCGGTCCTTCGCCTTGTAACGTGCTGTCAACCAAACAACGTGTTTCCAGCCAAACAACGTGCTGTCAACCGAACAACGTGCTGTCAACCAAGCAACGTGTTTCAACCAACTAAGGTTTATCTCATACCATGTATGTGTGTGCGCGTGTGTGTTGTGTTTCCCCTCACAGCTGGGACCAAACTTTGAGCAGAAGCAATGGGAGGAGGAGCAGATACACAAAGCTGCCATGAAGTTCACTTCGGCTGATGCCAAGAGTCGCAGCAAGGTGAGCAAGCCCTCCAAACATCCACCGTATTTTCCCGAATATGCGTCACACCTTTTTGCATTTCATTTAAGCGCAAAGAAGGTGGTGCGACTTACAATGGAGTGTGACATCCTACCTACATGACTGTATTGAAACACATGGCTCAATCCTGAAAGGGGGGGGGGGGGGGTGGCTTATAATCGAATGTGACTTGTAACCGGGGAAATCTGGTAATCTCACTCTGTGTTATTTGATTGCGCCGATGCTGGATGCAGTGAATGGGATGTTCGGTCTTTGACCACTTGCTGGTGAGCTGATCCACTCACCTCCCACCGCTTTAGGAGCTGCATCTGCACCTTGATCCTTGACGGATGGTGGCGTTCCTATGGATGCGGAAAGCCCGGCTTCCAGCCGAGTCTCACGCGAACCGTGAAATTTTTAATTTTGGTGCAGTAGAACTTAAGTAGAGCCTGCGCCCAATGTACATGCAGTATCCTGTGCTTGATAGCGGAGATGCCGAGATCAAATGACCGGGAAAGAATGTGCAGCCAGGGTCTTGTGAGCATCGCTGGCCTCAAGCGAAGGTCCCTGGTTCAAATCCTGGTGGTGACAGTCAATTTTTATTCAGACTTTGTGTGTGTGTGTGTGTGCGTGTGTGCGTGCATGCGTCTATGCTTGTATGTGTGTGTGCGTGTGTGTGTGCATCCGTATCTGTGTATGTACTATGTGTGTGTGTGCAGGGAAAAGATTATGATTTTGTCGTTGATGAGGAGATGATCGAGTTTCAACTGCTGGAAACAGTTGCTGGCAAGAATGTCAAACAGGTATGATGTACAACGTCTTCTATCTAACGTCACACCAGCAGCAGCAGTGACTGCAGGTGCTGCTGCCGAAGTTGCTGCTACTGCTGTTATTGATTTGAGCTGTTGCTAAATACTCTTGGATTGGCTATTGGTGTTGGTACTTCTGTCACTGGTTTCTGCTTGTCAGTAGCAATAACTCAAGTTACTAGTGCGGTGATGTATGCTCTTGTTACTCTTGTAGATTACTAGGGTTGTCATCGGCAGGTCTAATGTTACTTGTAATCAGAACCCTGTATTGTGTAATTCAGTAGAATAGTTACTGTTCATAGGCTAAGCTGGTGTTGGGCTAAGTTTTTTCATGTCCGTGTGCGCTCTGTGTGTGTGTGTGTGTGTGTGTGTGTGTGTGTGTGTGTGTCTCTCTCTCTCTCTCAATCTCTCTCTCTCTCTCTCTCTCTCTCTCTCTCTCTCTCTCTCTCTCTCTCTCTCTCTCTCTCTCTCTCTCTCTCTCTCTCTCTCTCTCTCTCTCTCTCTCTCTCTCTCTCTCTCTCTCTCTCTCTCTCTCTCTCTCTCTCATAGCAAACTGAAGAAGAGCGTATGCTTGAGGAGGCCGAGCGACAGCGGATGAGCATAGCGGAGGTATGCACATGTGTGCTTCAGCTAGAATCTGTGTGTGTAGTCGGTTTGTATCGCTCTGTGCTCTTGCCGACATACAGCGCTACTAAGTGATATCTGATTGTGTTGCTCAAGTATGTGTAGTATCATGTGTATCCCTAGACCCCTGTGTGTGTGCTGGTGCAGGGTACGAACTTGTCACACAAGATCGTATTTCCTGGAACAGCACTGTAATTCTTCCTACTCACCGTATCCTCCTGCTGCTGTCAATGTCAGCATGTTATCAGACACTCCAGAGCAGCTGAGTATCCCAGATGGAATACACTGGAGATGTGATCACTGTCTATTGTCCTGTAGACATCATTAGTGTCAAATGGCTCGGGGACAAGGCGACGATTTGGGGATGTGGGGCATATCCGTGTGCCAGTGATCCGGTGATTGACTTTAGCAGGTTATGCGGCAGTGTTGTGTGTGTCCAGGGCTGTACTGGTTCTCATGCCACGGCAATTTTTTTGTGGTATCAGTCCCGTGTGTGTGTTCCCATGCATACCTGTCTGCCCATGTGTGCGCTTTCTACTTTAGACTCGCAAAAGCTTGCCAATCTTCGCGTATCGTGAAGAACTCTTACAAGCTGTGCACGATCATCAGGTAAGAGATGAACTGAGATATTTGTTATTAAAACATTCAGAGTGCTTTCACTCTATCATCTTCTTTGTCTTTGGCGCCTGGTGTTTTAATGGTGCTCTTCAAATGAAGTCGGGTGTTTTCCTTGCCATGAGCACTTCTCTGTCTGTCTGTCCGTCTGTGCATATGTCTGTGTCTATCTGTCTCTGTGACGCCTGTGTGTCTGTGTGTTGTTTGTGTTAGGTGTTGATCATTGAAGGTCAGACAGGATCTGGCAAAACAACACAGCTACCGCAGTACCTGGTTGAGGGTGTAAGTTACTAGAATAGCATTGGTGTCCACATCTCTCTCCCCCACCCCACCCCACCCACCCCATGGCTAATGGCATTGTAGATTAGTCGTTCTCTATCTGCTCCATTGTTACCTCTACCCTGTGCTTGCTGTGAGTTTTGCCTTTTCTTTGTATGAAACCTCGGCTTTTTCTAACTCGTAAGCCTTTATAATACAGTGAAACCGGTCTAAGACGACCGCTCAAGGGGCCTTCAAATGTGGTCTCTATTACCAGGCGGTCTCCTTATCCAGGGTAATTGGTCCAGAGAAAAAGAGCATTCCTTGGTCCTGGTCGCAGTGGTCTTCTGGGACAGGTGGTCTCCTTATCCAGGGCAATTTGTCTAGAAAGAGCATTCCTTTGACGGCTTTCTTCCATTACCAATGCCTGAACAGAGCATTTCTTTGACAGCTTTCTTCCATTACCAATGCCTGAACAGCATTTTTTCGCTATCTCCATGTGCCTGTGCATTGTCTGTAGGGTTTCTGCGGCGATCGGAAGAGCAAGAATCGCAAGAAGATCGCTTGCACCCAGCCACGTCGTGTGGCCGCTATGAGCGTGGCGGCTCGTGTGGCGGAGGAGATGGACGTCAAGTTGGGAAATGAGGTAGGCGGAAGAACGAATAGTATTTGTAGTGTTCAATCACTGGTTGCGGCTATGCCACTACGAATGTAGCTTGAATCTGTGTCCTCCGTTATCCCGTGACGATGAAGAAACTGGTGTCAGATTGATGAGTCATTTCTACTGGGGAATTTTGCTTTCAATCTTGTTTCTCTCTCTCTCTCTCTCTCCCTTGTGTGTGTGTGCTTGCTTGTTTGTTTGGATTTTCAGGTCGGCTACAGTATACGTTTTGAAGATTGCACGTCGGAGAGAACCATTCTAAAGGTACGGCAGACAGTCAGACACCATTGATAACATCCCCTCCCCCACCACGCCATCCATTTTTTGAATTGTACATAGTCTCCAACGCTGCGATGTGACCAATTTCTGATAACTCCCCGAAGCTGATGATCGGCAATGACCGAAAGTTTGGTGAAGTGTTTAAAAGTCAGGAAAGAGGCCAAAAGGCAGCATAGACCATGTGGTAGAGGGACAGACATACAGACACACAGACACACAGGCATACAAACAGACACACAGGCATACAGACACACAGACACACAGGCATACAAACAGACACACAGGCATACAGACACACAGGCATACAGACACACCGACACACAGGCATACAGACACACAGGCACAGACACACAGACACACAGGCATACAGACACACAGACACACAGGCATACAGACAAACACGCACAGAGGTGTGAGCCCCATCAAGTTGATTATTAAAATCTGAGCCTAGCGACTGTGGTGGCAGTGACTGATGGGCACTAACGCATGGTGACTGACAGTTATGAAGTGTTTTCAGATCAGGTAAATGAGTTTGCATTGTGTTCTGTTCACTCTCCACAGTACATGACTGACGGAATGTTGCTCAGAGAGTTTCTCGGAGAACCAGATCTGGAAACGTACAGGTATGCATGCTATTTGTGTGTTGAATTAGCCATCAGTCTTCCGACTTCAGACTTCCGTTTCAATGGTTCATCTTATAGTCCTCAGTTTTCAATGATTCATCTGCAGTCTTCATCTGCAGTTTCAGACTTTGGTTTTCAATGATTCATCTTTGCTCTTTTGTCTTCATTCTTCAGTTTTCAATGTTTCATCTTCAGTCTTCAGACTTCAGTTTTCAATGATTCATTTTCAGTCTTTAGTCTTCAGGTGTTGATGATCCGTCTTCAGGTGTTTCTGCAGTGCTACATGTATGTGCACACGTTTGTGTGAATACCGGTGGTGCGTGTGTTCACGTCCATCGCGACCTGTGTTTGTTTCCTTGCCTTGACGCAGCGTTGTGATCATTGACGAGGCTCATGAGCGCACCCTGCACACGGACATCCTGTTTGCCCTGGTCAAGGACATTGCCCGCTTCAGACCCAATCTCAAGCTCATCATCTCCAGCGCCACGCTGGATGCTGAGAAGTTTTCGGCGGTGAGTCTTGTGTATTGTCGTAGGTGTGGGGTATGGTATTCGTTATTTTACTTTGCCAAGCGACCAGGCAACGATGCCTTCTCAGCAGCCAACGGCTGACTCTCACAGAATGATGAAAAAGGTTGTGCTTTCAACTCTGCTTTGTCGCTTTGTTACTGTATGTGTACCACAAGACTTGGGTAAGAAGAACGTCTGGTAGCTTCTTGCAGTTTCATAGAGTTGTAGATAAATGATTGAGGTGGATGCGATGCACTCATTCCAAGGGAAAGTACCACCGTGCCAGTCTTTCGTTTTCTGAAAGACCCAATAAGACACCTGTTCAGAGCAGCTTGACTTCTCGCTGTTTTGGCATTGTGAGGACTGGGGAGATTTCTTTCCTCTTTTCTGAAAACAACTCATTGTTTCTTCCTCAACATTCTTGTCTTGTCTTGTTTTCTT